GCTATATTTTTAATAAGAAAGACTTTTATTCACAATTTGCACTTTGAATAAACTTCCAGTAGCTTCGATACGAAGGACCACACCTACAAATTAGAGCAATTTGTTAATTTTAGGGCTCGTAGGACCATTTTGAAAGTTAAATATTGAACTAAATAATTTGAAATACTTAAAAGGTGTTAAACGATTTTTCAATTACTACAGTTTGAATATTTTCAATTTATAGGCTCGTAAGACCATAACAAGTAGGAGGTTCTTAGGAACATTTTCAAAACAAATACTGCATTAAATAAAATTTTATTATATTTCATTAATTTCCAAAATATTTCTTTTATTTAAATGTTATTATCTCTCCCTAGCACCTTAACACGTAACAAAAAAAATTTCCCTTGAAACTCTTATGACTTATTAAAGGCATTAAACTTCGGTTGTTGATTAAACTTGTTTAAACTTTATTTAATTTATATCATCATTATTATTGTTTTTCATATTTTGTTGTCATTATTGTTTTATTTAAACGTTCAACACAAGCACACACGTTTCAATAGAAAACAAATTTGTATATATTTTTTTAATAAAAAAAAACACTTGTTAGGAATTTCCGTTAAAATCTTGTTTTTTTGTACAACTTCCGTTTTGTTGTTATTGTGTTTAAACAAAAGTTTTATAAGCAGCATAGACGAAACTTTAATAAGCTATAGTTTTACATGATTTTAAGCAACACCACAGACAGACGGACTTAACTTTTCTAGGAAATTTTAACATAAACTCAAAGATGTTATTTTAATATAAAAGTTTTTCCTTATAAATTTAGTTTACTATTGAAAAATTCTCTTATTTTTTTGTTATTTTAATAGTTTTTCTAATATTAAAAAAATTGGTATAACAAGGCGTATGATTAATATTAATTAAGAGGTTGGTGAGAAAAAACCGCTATAACTTTTGTTGTATTAAAGATAGAGAAAAGATTTTAAAAAGATTTGAAAGCTAAGACTTGCAGCTATTCGTTAAACTATAGCTTGGTCTAGGTCTGGGTCTTTAGCATAGATTGTAGACTAAACAATGCTAACTGCACTATAAATTAAACTGTAAACAAGAGTTAATTTGAGATTAAAGACTAGTTTATAGTAATGACTATAGGTTAGGATATAGTATAAAGTATAGCATAGATTTAAAAGTTATTTTTAATAACACGTTTCAAACTAATAATGTCAAGTTTAGCAAAACATTAATTTAAAAGTTATGCACTGATTTCAACAAGAGATAACTATCTGCAAGTACATTATTATAACACTTTTATACACGTTGACAGTTGATCTAATATTATACTACAAAACATACATATTTAACAAGTGTCTAGAAGATTTGCTAAGATAGCAGAGAGAAGAGGAATGAGCCAAGAAAGTAAACTTGGTAACAAAACTATAAACAACTTTAGCCTTACTGCTAGCAGTACTTAATAAGCTATCAAAACTCTGCCCCATTCCGGAAAATTTAACAATTTCAAAGACAATATTAACTTAAGGGAAATACAAAATTTCCCATTAATATATTATTGTTGTAATAAGTTGTTGTTCTTTGGCCAGAAGTATTAATTAATTTACCCAACTTTAAGAACAATATTTTCCAGGAATCGAGCAGATATATTATGAATGATAGAAAATGTTTCGTCTTAAACTTGTTGCCAAGTTGTCGCCATTAGTACTTGGGTGTTGATGTTAATACACCCGGCTTTTGACAACTGTATGGGTAAATATACTGTATTTGTATTTGTATTTATGAATGAAAGTATCTGTTAGCTTCTCAGCTAAAGAACTCTCCTAGACTTTGTTTATAAGTAAAATAAAATTATCCTTATTGACTTTCACGTGCTCGAAATTAGTGCAGTTTTATATGATGTTCAGTCTTCGTATTTTCAGTTAATAACAAAAATGGTTTCCTGCTGATTTTGTTTTTCTTTTTCATCCTGCCATCCTGCAGATACAATTTTATTTTTTTGATTTAATTTTTATGTGAAACACACGCACGTGTTGCTAATATTTTAGCTTCAATATTACACGTTCTTTCTCATTTTTTTTTTTTTTGTAATAATAAAATGTAGAAGTAGAAGAAAAAAACTTATGGAAATTAATGAAATTTTACTAGCAAAAATAATGAATTAATGGAAAAAGAAAGTTAGTTAGTAATTGAGGAAAGGATGTGTGATGTTCACATCTCCGCTTTTGTTCGCTTAATTTATAAGACAATTTGATTTATTTATGTTAATAGAGATTTTGGATTTTTTTGGTAAAAATTTTCTCTTTAATAAATCACTTAATAAATTAATTGGTTTAAGAGGTTGGTTCAAGTTTTAATTACCTTTTCACAGGAATTTTCAATGAATTATTTTAGTAATAAATCACATTTTAATAAATTGATTAATAAATTGTATAATAACATTTTAGTTGTGTAGACGAAAATGTCTACATTTTTTACTTCAGTTTTTTAACATTTTGTTATATATTCGTTCCTTGGTTCCATTTAGAAAAAAGATTTTGAACAAATTGTTTTTTAGTTCACTTCTAGTTCAGTTGTAGTTCAGTTTTCGTTCAGTTCTAGTTTAGTTCTAGTTCAGTTCTAGTTTAAATCTACTTCAGTTCTATTTCAGTTCTAGTTCAGTTCTAGTTCAGTTCTAGTTCAGTTCTAGTTCAGATCTAGTTCTAGTTCAGTTCTAGTTCAGTTCTAGTTCAGTTCTAGTTCAGTTCTAGTTCAGTTCTAGTTCAGTTCTAGTTCAGTTCTAGTTCAGTTCTAGTTCAGTTCTAGTTCAGTTCTAGTTCAGTTCTAGTTCAGTTCTAGTTCAGTTCTAGTTCAGTTCTAGTTCAGTTCTAGTTCAGTTCTAGTTCAGTTCTAGTTCAGTTCTAGTTCAGTTTTAGTTCAGTTCTAGTTCAGTTCTAGTTCAGTTCTAGTTCAGTTCTAGTTCAGTTCTAGTTCAGTTCTAGTTCAGTTCTAGTACAGTTCTAGTTCTGTTCTAGTTCAGTTCTAGTTCTGATCTAGTTCATTTCTAGTTCAGTTCTAGTTCAGTTCTAGTTCAGTTCTAGTTCAGTTCTAGTTCAGTTCTAGTTCAGTTCTAGTTCTAGTTCAGTTCTAGTTCAGTTCTAGTTCAGTTCTAGTTCTAGTTCAGTTCTAGTTCAGTTCTAGTTCAGTTCTAGTTCAGTTCTAGTTCAGTTCTAGTTCAGTTTCTAGTTCAGTTCTAGTTCAGTTCTAGTTCAGTTCTAGTTCAGTTCTAGTTCAGTTCTAGTTTAGTTCTAGTTCAGTTCTAGTTCAGTTCTAGTTCAGTTCTAGTTCAGTTCTAGTTCAGTTCTAGTTCAGTTCTAGTTCAGTTCTAGTTCAGTTCTAGTTCAGTTCTAGTTCAGTTCTAGTTCAGTTCTAGTTCAATTCTAGTTCAGTTCTAGTTCAGTTCTAGTTCAGTTCTAGTTCAGTTCTAGTTCAGTTCTAGTTCAGTTCTAGTTCAGTTCTAGTTCAGTTCTAGTTCAGTTCTAGTTCAGTTCTAGTTCAGTTCTAGTTCAGTTCTAGTTCAGTTCTAGTTCAGTTCTAGTCTAGTTCAGTTCTAGTTCAGTTCTAGTTCAGTTCTAGTTCAGTTCTAGTTCAGTTCTAGTTCAGTTCTAGTTCAGTTCTAGTTCAGTTCTAATTCAGTTCTAGTTCAGTTCTAGTTCAGTTCTAGTTCAGTTCTAGTTCAGTTCTAGTTCAGTTCTAGTTCAGTTCAGTTCTAGTTCAGTTCTAGTTCAGTTCTAGTTCAGTTCTAGTTCAGTTCTAGTTCAATTCTAGTTCAGTTCTAGTTCAGTTCTAGTTCAGTTCTAGTTCAGTTCTAGTTCAGTTCTATTTCAGTTCTAGTTCAGTTCTAGTTCAGTTCTAGTTCAGTTCTAGTTCAGTTCTAGTTCAGTTCTAATTCAGTTCTAGTTCAGTTCTAGTTCAGTTCTAGTTCAGTTCTATTTCAGTTCTAGTTCTAGTTCAGTTCTGTTTTAGTTTAGTTCTAGTTCAGTTCTAGTTCATTTCTAGTTCAGTTCTAATCCAGTTCTGGTTCAGATCTAGTTCCTTTAGCTCCATTTCTAATTCAGTTGGACTCGTAGGACCATTTGAAGGTTAATGTTTTAAGAGTTTTAAGAATAACAATTCTCAAATAAGTTGAAAAGTTTTTCAGTTTCTACAGTTTTAATATGTTCAATATATGGGCTCTTAGGACCATATGGAAATAAATATTGAACTAAATATATTATGGTTAAGATTATAATAATAAGAACTGGTTTATTTTTCTTACATATTAACTTATCAACTTTCTCAATATATTTTACTTGAAGTTTTACTAGATTAAATATTTAAAGTTCGAAGGACCATTTGAAATATTACTAATATTAATCATAAATTTTATAATATTGAGTTTTAAAGTTGATCACTATTTCTTTAAAAGTTTTATTTATTTAATAAATTTTAATTTCTTTACTTTTAGATATTCCAAATCATATGAAAATATATTGAAATTGTTATAAAAATCACAACAAAAATAAAGGTATAAAGTCTTAAAAGTAGAATAATGCTTAACATAGTCAAAGCGATGCATGTGAAAAATTAACTAAGATTTTATTTTTATTTTTTTTTTTAACAAATTCCAAAAATTTCATTTAAATCGTTGTTTATAAGCTTAACCCATTTTGCTAAATTTGTTTTAATTTTTAGTTTTTTTTTTGTTCAAATTTTACTAGAGTGACCACTTAAGTTTTAAAAGAAACTATTTTAGCAAAGTTTTTTATTTTAATTAACACTCGCATGCGTTCAAAGCGTGACCGAAATATTTTCCCATAACATAAATTATTTTTATTTTTGCGCTACAAATTTATGGGATAAAACATAGGGAATTATTAACCAAAATAAATTTTTTATTAATAAAACAAAAATATCTTATAAAAATGCGCAATTTTTTTATAAATTTTATTTGTTTGCTTACGTTTTTTCAATAAAGAAAAACAAACAAATATTTTCTTCTAAAAATATAAAAGAAAATCTAAAGAAAATAAATAAAATTTTAAAAGAAAATTCGAAAAATAACGAAAAAATTGTCACTAAAAAAAAAATAAATATTGAAGTGTTGACACCAAGCGTTAAGAAAGAGAAAATAATACGAAGAAAATGTTGAAAAAATATACATATGTATGTTTGAGTATTTTTATACTGACGCATGGCTGAAATATAAAGATAAACAGAAAATGCGAAAATGTTCGAGGGTTAAGCGATAAATTGTGGGAATTAATGCCAAAGATCTTAAATATGATCTTATTTGTTATAAGGGTCATAATTGGAATTACTTTTGTCAACGCTACTTCAACATATACGTGTTTTAGAGCCATATTGAGTTTACTTAGATTACAAAGGGATAGTGGATATTACAGTGTTGAGTGATAATACTAGACCCTTAGTTCGTACAGTTCTAGTTCAGTTCTAGTTCAGTTCTAGTTCAGTTCTAGTTCAGTTCTAGTTCTAGTTCAGTTCTAGTCAGTTCTAGTTCAGTTCTAGTTCAGTTCTAGTTCAGTTCTAGTTCAGTTCTAGTTCAGTTCTAGTTCAGTTCTAGTTCAGTTCTAGTTCAGTTCTAGTTCAGTTCTAGTTCAGTTCTAGTTCAGTCTAGTTCAGTTCTAGTTCAGTTCTAGTTCAGTTCTAGTTCAGTTCTAGTTCAGTTCTAGTTCAGTTCTAGTTCAGTTCTAGTTCAGTTCTAGTTCAGTTCTAGTTCAGTTCTAGTTCAGTTCTAGTTCAGTTCTAGTTCAGTTCTAGTTCAGTTCTAGTTCAGTTCTAGTTCAGTTCTAGTTCAGTTCTAGTTCAGTTCTAGTTCAGTTCTAGTTCAGTTCTAGTTCAGTTCTAGTTCAGTTCTAGTTCAGTTCTAGTTCAGTTCTAGTTCAGTTCTAGTTCAGTTCTAGTTCAGTTCTAGTTCAGTTCTAGTTCAGTTCTAGTTCAGTTCTAGTTCAGTTCTAGTTCAGTTCTAGTTCAGTTCTAGTTCAGTTCTAGTTCAGTTCTAGTTCAGTTCTAGTTCAGTTCTAGTTCAGTTCTAGTTCAGTTCTAGTTCAGTTCTAGTTCAGTTCTAGTTCAGTTCTAGTTCAGTTCAGTTCTAGTTCAGTTCTAGTTCAGTTCTAGTTCAGTTCTAGTTCAGTTCTAGTTCAGTTCTAGTTCAGTTCTAGTTCAGTTCTAGTTCAGTTCTAGTTCAGTTCTAGTTCAGTTTAGTCAGTTAGTTCAGTTCTAGTTCAGTTCTAGTTCAGTTCTAGTTCAGTTCAAGTTCAGTTCTAGTTAAGTTCTAGTTCAGTTCTAGTTCAGTTCTAGTTCAGTTCTAGTTCAGTTCTAGTTCAGTTCTAGTTCAGTTCTAGTTCAGTTCTAGTTCAGTTCTAGTTCAGTTCTAGTTCAGTTCTAGTTCAGTTCTAGTTCTGTACTACGTCTGTTCTAGTTCTCTAATATATTATGTTCTTAATATTTTTAAGTTATCATTACTAAACTCCTTAATCGTTAGTAATTTTTTTGTTGGATATAAAATGTTTGCCAAAATTTTCTATCAACCCTCGTTTTTTGGCTCATTAGCCAAACAATTGAAATGATCAAGAATGAAAAAATTCTCTCTGTTGTTTTAAGCGAAATATGGGCGCCACAGTGACCGCTGAACAATTTAATTCTTTCCACTTTTTCCCAATAAAAATAGCTTTGGAATTTCAGAATGGATTTGTACAACATTATAAAAAATGTTCGAACAAAAAAATAGTTTTCTTGATAAATTATTCATCATCAGCTGTGAGGCTAAAAAAGTTTAAGGAATGTGTTGGTATATTTCAAAATTAACCAAAAGAACTTGAAAATTCTCAAAACTGAAATAATTTGGCGACCAAATTCTTTACTTTTAAATAAAAATGTCTTGTTAATATTTTGTTTTAATAATTTCACAAAATATTACAAAATGTTTACAACATCATAATATAATTATAACATAAGAATGATAAATTAAGGAATTTTTCTGTTTTATAACAAAATTTTGTAAAAAACAAGTTTTTGCAATACTTACATGAGCTTTTTTTTCTTAAAATATAAAAAAACTAAAAATTCTTCCAGCTCCTTGTATTGGCTCTTAAAAGAGGTCAATATGTTAAGTAGTAGCGGATCTTAAATTGTGTAAATCACACGCCCATGAGAGCAAAAAGTGATCAAGTGTAGTTGGCCAAAAATTATTGTATGATTTTGAAGAAAACAAAAAACACAATATTGCAGCATGTGCTGCTAGAAATTGATCTGTTTTTTCATTTTTGTAGATATTTTGTTTTGAAAAGGGATCTGTTTTATCAATTCTAGAACAAACACATCATTGTTCATGTCATGTATTTAGGTTGCAGCTTATGAAATAATTGTGTCAAATATTTGAAATTTCATATATAAAGAAAGTATGTTTATTGCCTGCAAAGAAAATAAAGAGAATAATAAGAAAATTTTTTGTTCAATTGAAAATGTGTTTAATTTATTAAGTGTTATAACATAAATTTATTAACTAAATGTACAAAATCATATCATCTGCTAAAACAAAGGAAACGGTGCATTCCCTAATTATTTTATTTAATAAAAACATAATAATTAATTTCATAATAAAGTAAAATATTGAAACAAATGCGCAATTTTTGGTTTTTATTATTATTTCAGAAACATTACACCAAGATTGTAAATGTTACTAGTGTTACAGAAAATTACGTTGTTTTCTTAATGAACTGCATAATAAGCGACATCTTCATTAAGAAATTAATATAAAATTATTATATATTAATTTGCGTTTTACCTTAAATTACAAAATGACCGAGAACTGATAACTAAAACTTGAGTAGAACTAGAACAGAACTAGAACTGAACTAGAACAGAACTAGAACTGAACTAGAACTGAACTAAAACTGAACTAGAACTGAACTAGAACTGAACTAGAATTGAACTAGAACTGAACTAGAACTGAACTAGAACTGAACTAGAACTAGAACTGAACTAGAACTGAACTAGAACTGAACTAGAACTGAACTAGAACTGAACTAGAACTGAACTAGAACTGAACTAGAACTGAACTAGAACTGAACTAGAACTGAACTAGAACTGAACTAGAACTGAACTAGAACTGAACTAGAACTGAACTAGAACTGAACTAGAACTGAACTAGAACTGAACTAGAACTGAACTAGAACTGAACTAGAACTGAACTAGAACTGAACTAGAACTGAACTAGAACTGAACTAGAACTGAACTAGAACTGAACTAGAACTGAACTAGAACTGAACTAGAACTGAACTAGAACTGACTAACTAGAACTGAACTAGAAACTGAACTAGAACTGAACTAGAACTGAACTAGAACTAGAACTGAACTAGAACTGAACTAGAACTGAACTAGAACTGAACTAGAATTGAACTAGAACTGAACTAGAACTGAACTAGAACTGAACTAGAACTGAACTAGAACTGAACTAGAACTGAACTAGAACTGAACTAGAACTGAACTAGAACTGAACTAGAACTGAACTAGAACTGAACTAGAACTGAACTAGAACTGAACTAGAACTGAACTAGAACTGAACTAGAACTGAACTAGAACTGAACTAGAACTGAACTAGAACTGAACTAGAACTGAACTAGAACTGAACTAGAACTGAACTAGAACTGAACTAGAACTGAACTAGAACTGAACTAGAACTGAACTAGAACTGAACTAAAACTGAACTAGAACTGAACTAGAACTGAACTAGAATTGAACTAGAACTGAACTAGAACTGAACTAGAACTGAACTAGAAACTGAACTAGAACTTAACTAGAACTGAACTAGAACTGAACTAGAACTGAACTAGAATTGAACTAGAACTGAACTAGAACTGAACTAGAACTGAACTAGAACTGAACTAGAACTGAACTAGAACTGAACTAGAACTGAACTAGAACTGAACTAGAACTGAACTAGAACTGAACTAGAACTGAACTAGAACTTAACTAGAACTGAACTAGAACTGAACTAGAACTTAACTAGAACTGAACTAGAACTGAACTAGAACTGAACTAGAACTGAACTAGAACTTAACTAGAACTGAACTAGAACTGAACTAGAACTGAACTAGAACTGAACTAGAATTGAACTAGAACTGAACTAGAACTGAACTAGAACTGAACTAGAACTGAACTAGAACTTAACTAGAACTTAACTAGAACTGAACTAGAACTTAACTAGAACTGAACTAGAACTGAACTAGAATTGAACTAGAACTTAACTAGAACTGAACTAGAACTGAACTAGAACTGAACTAGAACTGAACTAGAACTGAACTAGAACTGAACTAGAACTGAACTAGAACTGAACTAGAACTGAACTAGAACTGAACTAGAAGAACTGAACTAGAACTGAACTAGAACTGAACTAGAACTGAACTAGAACTGAACTAGAACTGAACTAGAACTGAACTAGAACTGAACTAGAACTGAACTAGAACTGAACTAGAACTGAACTAGAACTGAACTAGAACTGAACTA